ACAAATATGCTGGGGGCAATTCCCATCTGCCTTCTATTTTTGTTCTTCCTGTTTTACTCTCAATTCTGTCTTTTTTTCATGGCAATACTGGACTGAGAGGAAGTGGTTGTGAATAGACATTTTTGCTGGGCATTTTTAAAGAACACTTTCTAGTGCACCCAGAATTTCCTTTAAAATCATAGAATCATAGAATTTTAGGGGCTGGAATGGACCTTACAGATCATCTAGTCCCAACCCCCTGCCATGAGCAAGGACAAAATGAACACTATAGTATAATTATGAAATGTGGCTGGGATAGCTCAGCCTTTATTCATTCAGTTTCTTTGGTTTTATAAAAGAGAGCTAAAGTTCATTTTTCTAAGTGGTAAAATTGTGTTTGTGTCATGCTAAAATTGCTTCATTAGGCTTTACAGTTATTTCAAAAGAAGATATGGAATGAGGCACCAGTGGAAAAACATCTGGCATGTGGACATTAGACAAACTTACAGTTGCCAATGTTTGCCACTTCCTTTTAGGAGAGAAAGGTAAATTAACAATGAGAAACAGGAACCTTGGAAAAGAGCTTTACAATAAAGGTATCAGAAGAAGTTGAATGTCAGTGAACTCAGGTATGTCAAAGTCTCATAAACCCTCATGTGTCTGGATAGCTTGTTGCATGCATTAGTGAGAGGCTCTTGGCTTTGAAGAGCATGCATTGGCCCATCACTGCCATCAAAAATAACTGCTGCTGAGTGACTTAAACCCCTGCACTCATGAGTGAAGGGGGCTTTTAATTAAGATACAGTAGTTATCACGTACTTTGTGATAAGTGCAAATACTCACCCAGCACCATGGATGACAAGGCCTATGAAGAAGATGACAAAGAGATGGTGGGTGTACCAAAATACCTCGAAATACGACCTTCGGATGGTTTTGGTGGATGATGTGATGATCAGTATGAGGGCCAGAGTGATGATAACACCAGTGAGACCAGCCAAGTACGTGAAGGCCACATACAGGCCCCCCACAGGATTCTGTGAAATAATTACACACATTGGTCTAAGGAAGGGATTGAATCAAAGCAGAGCCAGCAGAACCATCACTTATCAAACTCTTTATCTTGTTACATGTCTTTAAGTGATCCTCTGTGAATTTGTGTGCCAACAATGCCAAAATCCTACTCCATTTTTGTTGCACTGCAGATCTATCTTTACTAAAGTAAGCAGAAGTACAGAGAAAGGGTTTTCCACCAATTCACACCCCAAACATTGTTTCTTACTTTGCCACAGCTCAGCAGTGTGGGTTTGGGGAAGGTGAATACATTTGCACAGCTCTGTTGTTCAGAGCTGGAGTCCTACATCCATATTTCTGGAGCTCCAATGGAAGCACTCCTTTCCAGTGGTGTTGTGCAGCTGTGGGTCTCATAACATACACAGTTTGGATGCTTAGTTCTCCTGAACAGTGGGGAAGATCCCACTTGAAAGAAAGGAATGGGGTTTTTTTCCTAACCAGAGCTTAAGCAGCCCAAGTTCAAAACTTTTGCCTTAATTTCTGTGTACCTTTCTGCATGCCATGTCTACCTTAGTCAGAAGACTTTTACAGGGTATCTGTTTTTACATAGTGATTTAAAACTACTTTGAAATCCTCAGGTGAAAAAGTTTAAAGTACTACCAAAGTTCAGCAACAATATTAGTGACAAATGTAGAAGAATGAATTCTACAAGGTTTTTCTACAAGATAGCCCAAACCCAGATTGTGCACACCAGAAATAGGCACTCTGCTCAAACCATCTTACAGGATCACCTAAACAAATGCAATGATGACTCTTCAGAGTCTGATGTCACTTACCCCAATAGTTTGTCTGAAGAAGTTGACATAGCTTTCACCTGGTTTATCACCAAGGCTAGAAAGCACAGCTGCCAGAGTCCCCTTCTCTTCAACACGGGCCTGCACGCTCCACTCCACGTTGAATAAGTGTGCAATGGTGTGAATTGCTGGAAGTGATGGCAAAGGAATAATCAGCATTAAGCACAAGTACTCAGTGGTTTTGGATAGCATTTTAAGCTTTGTCACATTTGTTAGCTGCAGCTTAATACCTTTGTCACTCTCACCCTCTTCAGCACAATTTCAGATCACTGATATGTTTTACTGTTAAGGCTTTACCACCTGGGGTTCACTTTTTTTTTTGGGCAGGAGAAGGCAAGAAATAAAGGGAAGTTTCCAGCACACCTTTGTTCAACAAAGGCTTTCAACAATTCAAGTAGTAGTACCCTAATACCTGGGAAACTGAAGCATGGGATGGCTTAAATAATTTGTCAGAATCATCCTCATCCAGGATTTCTGTAGGAGATCCAAGAAGTGAATCTGGATTTCTTTGGGGTCATATTTGTTAGTGCTGCTTTGTTCTGCTGTATCAGATGTAATAATCATTAATAATATTCTTGCTGAGCTCAATGTATCCAAAAACCTAAGACAGCTGAGATGTTTCAGACCATTTCCACTGTATGTTACTGCAGGCCTAAGGCCTTACAACTCTTCAAAATTTGTCCCCTCTTGTACAAGCAGATACTTGGTCACCTTTAGAACGGGGCCTGATGGGTAGACATCGAACAATCCAGTTCTGCTACAGAACCTCTGCTGTGGTCTGGTGCTAACTGCATCAACCTGCTCCTTTTCCATGAAGTGGTGGTGAGATTTCAGCCACAGCTCAGAAAGGGAATCTGTTCAGCTCAATTAATGTACTGACACAAGGACTGTTCTATGATATATGATTGGCAAGGTACTTCCATTAAGAAGTGACAAATTTGATGAAAAAACCCCTTAGTTTAGGAAACAAGACCTAAAATGTAAAAATATTTCCATGGTCAATTCAAGTTTTTTATACCTTTTTTCCCTAATTTTTGTTATTTTTTTTTAGACATGCCACCTAATAAATAAGTCTAAACAAGAATTAAAGCCAGGGTACCTGGTTCTCAGGGCATTGCAAAACACTCTTTACAAACAATATCATAAGTGGAACTGACAGCTTGAAATAAAAGTATTTTCTTGTTTATCATTTGCTCTCTGCCAGTTACAGTTCAGTATTTGGAAACTGATTTCACCTTGACACGTGCTGTTTCCTGTAGGTTAATGAAATCAGGTCTCTGCCCATATCCTTAAGAACTTGGATCCCACCTGGATTCCATGTAAAAAGCAGAAGAAAGCAATAAACAAAGAAACCAACCAGTATGGAGGGCAATCATCCATGCCACCATCTTGTGAAAGGTGAGGTTCCTGTCCAGCTGTCGTCTGATACGGGTAGAGCAGCACTTTGGGTTTTAGAGAAAAAAAAGTATTTGAAGACTCTTTGGGTTATGCATACTTTTCAAATGCAGGGACAAAAACAGAGTCCCTGAGCACAACAACTGGTGGCATTGCTAGGGAAAATAGAGAACTTGTAAAGATAGGCAACAGTATTTTCCCCCCATACTTCAGAAAATGGGAATACAAACTGTGTTTTAACATGTCCCATTGAAACAAGTATTTGATAATGAGAAAAAACTTAACATTCATTATGACAAAGGCAGATATCTCATCTGTACAGCCTGGGTTGTCTCTTATCATTTTCTTATTACTTCACATCCCACTCTCTTCCCTTCTGAAGGACTCTTGAAACACTGCATCTATTTTATAGCTTCTTCTTCTGCTCTGCTTTTTCAGCCCCCACAGTCTGTCTCACTTGCATGATAGAATTTGTATGAGATTTACAGATGAAAACCAATTTCTGTGAACTGTTTTGTTGACTGTGTGTATATTAAAGTGGCCAGAAAGAAAGGAGGAATCATTATACATTTGGAAAGAGAGTTCATGAGCTTGTAGAGAATATTGCCTTCTCACTGGACTGCACTGTCTGCACCATTTCTGCTGTAACAGACAGAGATCTACATTTTGGCAGTGTGATACAGTCAGTACCATCAAGCCTCTCCAGATGTCACTTAGAATTAGTTGTCCTTTTCTTAGTGCCAGTTCCTCAGTGCTGTGTATAACATCTGCATTTGGGAGCTAGGAAAGGTCAAAAGGGCTGTGAACTATTTCATCCTGAGGTGGAAATGCAACTCAGACAAGAAAGAATGTTAATTTGTGAACCAGCTGAAAAAAGTCCCATTCTGAAAGTCTATGAAATACTACATTTACATTAAGAACTGAGCATGCAAAGACAGCAGACATGGGCTAATATCTCCCTTACTCCCAGGTGTTCCAGCAGTGACCAACAAGGCCAATGTGTGCAAGCACCAATGGCTGCTGCCAGCCAAAGAGGCACTTTGCAACCAGGGCAGCACCAAGCCCAGGAGGCAGCAAAAAAGGAAGGACCTGAAGGAGGCTAATTTAATGTTAAACCTCTCCATAAAGCTCTAGATAACACCATAGGCAATAGACCTCAGTCTTGCTCATAGCAAAACTCCAGGCTTATCTGCTTCTTAAAAGAGGACATCCCCAAATTATGGTATATTTGAGGAACTTGGACAAAGTTTCTTGGTATATTTGCAAGGCTGTTTAGGTTATTGTCTTTCATAAATTATGAAATTCTTTCTTCATCTTACCGCACTTGATCCTCTGAGGAAGGAGAGCAAGTTTCGACACACTGGCAGCAGGATCAGCATGCAATTGAAATTCAGGCAAGCTGCAGGGGCCCTTGCAAGAGCCAAGGCACGCTGCAATTGGAGAGATGCTGCTTTTAATTGCATTCCCTAAGACATTATCCAGGCCATGGGTAGACATGGATTTCATTTCTGTAGCGTATCACAACTTGCAATGAGTGTGAGATCTAGAGTTCACATTCAAAACGTGAATGTTCACATTTCAGGGTAGTCATGCTCTGGTCAAGTCAAAGACACATGTGCAGGCAGAGCACATTCCTTCAGTTTTCAGTTTTGAAATAATATGTTGTACAAAAAGCTCCCTGTCACATCTGGCAATAAACAGTCTAACACAGATGCAAATCTAGTAGAGTTTTGTGTTCCAAGGCTGTAAAGAAAATCTCACAGCTGTGGTTTCAGTTTGGCTGGGAGTTAGGGTAGGTGGACAGCTTATAAGGGAAGTGGTTCTAAGTTCTCCGTCGCCAGTAAACGGAGTCTAAGGAAATTTGTTGCCTCGTCTTTTAGGAATCTGTTTTCTTAATGTTGGTCTTCACACCTTGGATTATTGCAGACATTTGAACAAAGACTGTTTGAAATGAGGGTATAATGACCATATTAATCCAAACACCATGAAGAGAAGGAAAAGGTCATGTTTGCTCTCCTTGTGTTGGTTGGGACCGTGTTGTGTTTCAGACCGCAGCACTGACTTGGGGTTACACTGAGCTCTACCTACCCAAGTATGGGTCTCTGACTTCAAAGGCAACTGCACCCTGATTGCAAAGACAGCATTTGATCCACAGATTTGAAGGCTTATGCAGAATGGGATTTCATGCTTTGTTGAATTAAACCATGGCTTTGCAAACCTTTGACAAAGAGCTGTGCTCTGTAATTTGAAGCTTAGGCTGATTTTTGTCTGTGATCAGGCTTTGAACATAATTCATTTTCCCTGTCAATTGGTCATGACCTGTGGTAGCTTTGGCAGCAAGTTTGTAGTAGGACACATAATGCTACATTAACCAGTTGGATTATATTGAATAGCCCAGGATCACTTCACTACTTGACCTGCTTGATGAATATGTGAATGATGATTGCTTTTCAGAGCTAATATTTGTAAACTATTCATGCTCTGAAAATAACTGCAGGGGAAATGATTGCACAATAGTTCCATGGCAATATTTTATTCACCTTTTGCTTAATAAAGCAGCCACAATTAATGCTTACTTTAATTATAGGGAACATAATAGTTACCTGAAAACATCTTTAGAATGAGATCTCTCTATTTTGGGTACCAGCTTTCATTCAGAAGCACTGTACGTCTGTCTGCATTCAGCTATGCTTGTTTATGACTCAACTCCTCTATGAACCTGCTGCTCCAGCCATTTGATCCTGTTTCAGTCACTTAAAACTAAGCAAAAATGCTACATGCTCTGTCTATGCCGAGGTAAAAATGTCTTGTACTTACACCAAGGAGGATTCTCGTGTAGAAGAATTTTGGTGGGACATCATACACAAGATAGTACCACCAAAAGAGGAAGACGTTTAACCCCAGCCACACAAGCTGAAAGAGAATTAAACAGGAAGCTTACAGTTAGTTGTTAGAGATCATCCATCTGAATTTACACAGTTCAGAGAATGGTCAATTAGTTCACTGTGCTGCTGTTTGCACACAGAGCTGTACTGCAGGGTATAAAGGTTTCTGCAGGGGAGGTAGAAATTTTTCTGGTGTGAATGGGCTCTGATGTGTGCACACAGGGTATGGGAGCAGCAAAAAAACCAAAGCACAGCAATGTGTAGCTCAAACTTTTGCATAGCTCAAGGAGTTTAGACATAACTGTACCAGGACTGTCGTATTACAGTTGTTTAACTATGTCTGTGAGTCTGGTTGAATCTCCAAACACCTTTAAAGGTTAGGGACTCTTCCAAATGGCAGTTCCTCGGGCATTATAACCTGTGTAAGAGGAAGACTTAGAAGCTGTGACAAAGGACAAAGAAGCTCGAGGTCTAAATTACACACAGGGCTGAATTGAAGGGAGACTGAGGGTCTGAAAGCAGTCAGGAGGAAATATTCAACGCAGACCTTGTGGCAGCATGCAGACTACCCAAACTGGGCTTCTTCATAGAGGTAATGTAAAATTTTCTCACACTTGCACATCCTATGGTGCAGGTTTCTTTAGGGAAAGGCAAGTTATTGACACTTAGGCAGCTACAAGTCCATCTGGCCAAAGAGATCATAGTGAATCTGGGCATTTGACCTCCTGGAGCTGTTTGGCTGATTTCAAGTCCCATATTGAAATAATTCTGCATCAGTGCACACTCAGTCTCAGTAGGTTTACTAAGCAGTGCATGAAAACAGAAAGAAAGTCTAATAACTGGGAGAAAACCCAGTGTCTGCTTAGAAGTTAAGGATGCCAGAAACTGTGACATTACAGTCCCTTACCCCTCCTAACCCATGTGTTTTTCTAGTTCTTTGGTCCAAATGACACTGTTAAAAAACTTGGGATTAGTTCAGATCTTGCAAATCTAATAACTACTGGGAAATGAAGAGATTTCCACCAGGGTAAGGCAGTATGTGGGAAATCCCCAAGACCTCATTAAAACACCAAGCTCATCTCAGGAGTAAATGCTTAGAAGATTTATGTAATGTCAGAGTGTGTCGCTCTCACTTTAATAAATATCCTAAACATTTATGAGACCAAGATGCTTGGTCTGATCCTTGATGGTCTTTTCTAGTCCTTCTTGGTGCTTTGAGGATCTAAACCCAAATTTTTTATATGAACAAAATAAAGGCCTCTTCTTAATTCTTCTAATATTTTAATTCTGGTGGGAAAAAAAAAAAAAAAAAAAAAAAAAAAAAGCCAGATTTCTCCTCTTGGCATTTTCAACTTCCTCAAGTCACTGAAGGTGACAGCAAACAGAGTTACTCCTTTCCAAAGCACTGAAGTGCCAGGTCTATGGGGTTATGCTCCTGAACTAGAGCTACACATCTACAGTGTGATATCCAAATATTGACTGTTTACAGCAGCAGAAATACCTCTGAATAAAGGTGTTCACATTTTGGTCACTAGAAATATGTAAGTTCTATGTCTTCTTTTTCTTCCCATCAGTATTTACATCTACTAACCACAGTTCAGTTATTGACAGCAATACTATAACTACTTTTACATTTTTGTGTTGCATATGCTATTTAATATATATATGTATTTAACATATGTATATAGGTATACCTATAGCCTTTGTATGATACTGTGGAAGTAGAAAAAAAGAAAACACTGAAATACTTAGTTTTTTCTAAGGAGGATTGTCCTGCTTACTTTTTAGCACTTTAAAATGCAACTGGGATTTTCAATAGCTTTAAATCTTGCTCAAAATTAATTTAACCAACTTCCACTGCCCCTCTATGCAAGCTGTAAACTAACTCAATTCAAATACTAGTTCTCTTAATGAAGGATTCATGAATCTCTGCTCTAAATTCTTGAATCTGAGTCTGATGCATATTTTCTATCACTAAGACACTATGCTTTGGGTTATGTCCCCTTTTGTTTATAAAAGTGCAAGAAATGTGGCTGTTGTAATTGCTTTCACTGTGGAGTACACAGTTAAGTGAGTTATAATGTTGTTTCCCTCAACTAAAATATTTCCAGCAAAGCAAATTAAAGTTTGCATGCAATCATTTCTCAGTTTACAATGAAGCCTTCAGCAACTGAGATACCAGATAGAGTTCCTTAAAAATTGTTCCCTCGAAGCATTTCCCTGCACTTGCTGCCCCAGTTTCAGTATAATCAGGTGCACTGCTCACTGGCACAGCCAACACTGCCTAGCACAACTTTCAGTAGGACTTTTTACCAGACACAAATCACAATAAATATTGTACTTACAACGACGAAGATGGACAGTCCTTCATTCTCCACCCAGTTACCCATGTCTGCCCGAGATGTGTGTGCACTGGTCTCTCTGGGACAGCCTCGGAGTGTTGTCTCATGAGGAAGTGAGAGCAGGAGCTTGCAGCACCGTGTTTCCTTTCTCATTCATTTAGGAAATAAGTCAACCATCGAATCATGCCCACAGTTCTGTTTCAAGCATGTTTTTAACAGCTTCGCATAAACTTTTCATACCTCAAATATATGTAAAGCGTCGAAATAGACCACTTTGTGAGACAGAGGATAAAATAAATAATACAACTGGTCAGGTTTTCTGCTAAAAAATGTGACCTCACTTTATATAATTTTCAATGCTGAAGTGTAATATAGAAAGTGCAGAAGAGATATCTCTGCTCTGGTTTGTCTTGTTTTTAACCACCTCAGGTCTGAGAAGCAGTTCATGCTGATCCTTGTTGCTAAATAATCACTAGTATTACTTCTCTTCCAGTAGTTCAATGTCCCCAGAAGCTTAAAAATGTAATCTAACACTCCTCTTGTCTGGTACATGCAAGCCTTGCTAATTCCTCTCTGCTCTGGCCAAAACTGAGGACATATGTCACTAGATAGGTTATTTTTTCGTATTTTTCACTCTGCAGAGTCTCCAGCTGCAGGGCACTGTCACTACATGCCATGGTTTAACCACATCAGCACCGAAGCAGCACACACTGCTCACTCACTCCTCACTCCCCTGGTGGGGAGAGCTGGGAAAATGAAGTAAACCTCATGGATTGAGATAAGAACAGTTCAAAAAATGAAACAAAATAAATAACAACAACTACAACAGTGATGATAATAATTGCAATGAAAAGGAGAGAGAAAGGAATAAACCCCAAGAAATACAACTGATGCCCAACACAATTTCTCACCACCCTCTGACTGATGCCCAGTCAGTCCCCCAGCAGAAAAAGGAATCTGTCAGTCAGCTCCCTGAGTTTATGTGCTGGGTATGATGTTCTGTGTCATGGAATAGCCTTCTGGACCTTTTGGCTCAGCTCCCCAGCTGTGCTCCCTGACAGCTTCTTGTGCAGCTCCCACTGGCAGAGCATGAGACACTGGGCAGTCCTTGACTCAGTGTGAGCACAGCCCAGCAACAACTAAAACATCTGTGTTATCAGCATTGTTCTCATCTGAGTTTATGTGCTGGGTATGATGTTCTGTGTCATGGAATAGCCTTCTGGACCTTTTGGCTCAGCTCCCCAGCTGTGCTCCCTGACAGCTTCTTGTGCAGCTCCCACTGGCAGAGCATGAGACACTGGGCAGTCCTTGACTCAGTGTGAGCACAGCCCAGCAACAACTAAAACATCTGTGTTATCAGCATTGTTCTCATACTGAATCCCAAACACAGCACTGTACCAGCTACTAGAAAAAAAAACTATCCCAGCTGAAATCAGGAGACTATATAAGAAAAAAAATCAAAGTAAATGTTTTGCTGTTGGTGAGTTCTGGTGCTCCCTTGTGCTCGAGAGCTTTCCTATTAATTTTGAAAGTCACACAGCAATGCACAGCAAACTTTGCCTGTTGCTGCAAGCAACAAGTGTGAGTAGAAACAGTGCCAAACCCACCCATGTCTCACCCGTGATTCAATTCTGGTGTTTTCACCTTCTGAATGAGCAAAACATCTTTGCTATTACAAGAACTTGAATGCTTTGTACTTTGCTCCAATTTGAAAGATGCAGCCTGTACAAGAAAAGGCAACATTGGCAGCTGTGTATTAATTATGCAGGAGTGTAAAACTGGAGTATGAAAACAATTAAATGCTATCTCATTCTGTTTCTAAAATTTCTTTCAAGCTCCTAGATTACACACAGCATTTTTTTTTCTTATTTGCACTGAGAAGTTCAGTGAACAGTGATCTTTTTGCAGCATGAGAGTGTTGCAAAAGTGTTCAGGTCTTGGGGTTCTTCATTCCCTTGCAGTAATTTTATCCCATTTTTTAGGAATTAATTGAGTTCCTGTCCTGCTCTGTGCAATAATGGTCTGTGTATTGCTGCACAAATTTATTGCCAGACCTTTGTAATAGGCCTAGGGGTTTCACACCTGCCTCCTAAAAGGGACAATGAAAAATTCTGCAAGTATAAATGCCAAAAGAGTGATACAAAGAACAGAGTGGAAGAGAACCTGCTTCTCCTTCCCAGGTAGCAAAAGGAAAGCCAAGGAGAGACCTTGATTAACCTCTATTATTTTGTAGGCTGAAGTCTTTTTTTTCTTTTTGGAATGCTGTGCAATCCTTGTTTACCAACCTTCCCTTGACTCGACACCAAGGAGGAAGAAGCAAACAAGAGACTTGTCAAACTGTCTTCCCAGAAGGGACTGTCTTCACACAGAGCTTGAGGCTGTCACTGTATGTACTTGCCTTCACTCAAGGTAATGACAGTCTGAAACTTCTGCTCTTTCTCTTTTGTTTACAAAATGAATGATTCCATGCTGAGATGAGGGCAGAAAAGTCAATAAATATGAGCCAGGAAAAGACTCATCCATAAGACTCCAGTAAGGACTGGCAGATCCTTCTAGGTCTTTGCTTTACACTCCAACCCTCAATGTAGTTCCCTGCCCCAGTACTTCCTCTCACTGCCTTTTGCAATGATCATGAGACCCACATGCTGTTTTCCAAAAAACCCCATGTATGATCCAGATGCTATCTGGCATACCAGTCTTGGCTTGAAGTCAAGCTGTACCATCACAAACTGGGCCAGATATCTGCACACTGCTGTGTTATTGGAAGGAACAGCCACCACCAGCAACACAGCTTAAGTGCAGATAGAAATTTTCACTGCAGTAAGCAGGCAGTAGTTTCCTGGTAGAGCTGGAGTAGAGCTAGGGTACTATAAAAACAGAGGCCAAAATAACCTGTCCTTGCACAGGACGAGGGAGAGCTCAGCCCACAGGGTACCAGCTTTATGATCTTTTAGTCTAGTTCTGCAACACAACTACCACCTGTTTGCTTCTCCCTCCATAGCAAGAACTTCTCTTCTGATCCACCTCGTTTGCACAAGCCAGAGACAGCACAGGGGAACCCTTCTCTGCCTGGAGAGAGCACCAGAAGTGCTGCTGGTGGAGCCACAGCTCAGCGTTGGCACCCTCAGGGCACTGCAGGGTGGCACAGAGTGGCACATCCAGCCGAGAATGGATGTGTCTAATGATGTTTGATAAGTACCAGGGAGAACAGGGCTGATAGAAACAGTGTGGTCACATCAACTTTTCTTTATGGAACCATGTTGAAAAAACAAGCTACCAACATTGTGCCTAAACCTGAAATTTTTCATAGAGGTTTTAATCTACTTTTGATTAAAAAAATATGCTGGATATTCATTTTAAAAATCATCCCTTGAGACTAAAAATAACATATGTAAAAAGGATTCATTACTTTGTCTGTGTCAGGGAGTGTAGCTCTATCCAGCAGACAGCAGTGTCCATCACCACCAGCACTTCCAAAATCCTTTCTCACTGCTCCTCATCTAAGTCATGTACAACACTAGTTGTTACAGTATATCTATTTACACCTGCATTTACAAAATACCTGCAAATTTATGTATACAAATTTGTATATATAAATTTACAAACACTTTGTTGTAAAGTTTTTATACATTTGTGTTCCTCCACAACAGTCCTCAGTGTGGATTTTGATGGATATTCCCAAGGTCAGAAACAAGTATGTGGCAAATCCAAAAGAGCATGATACAACTGTGCAGAAAATAATTTAGAAATTCTTTTTAAGGTAATGATTTCTTCCTGATTCCCAATGTAAACCAGTAAATATTCTCATCCTGACAATAAATAAACTATATTGACCTTGTTCCATATAACACTGGTCTCAAACTGCTCAACTCTTACAAAATTTTCTGCTAAGCATCACAGGTTGGAGGTAAAGAACTCCCAAATCAATTACAGATTACTCCTCTGCCACATCTGCCTAAAAACATTTCTTTGGCTGTGTGGTGACAGATGACAGTGTGCTATGAAATCTTTGTTTTGGATTTCTGAAAGCAGCAAACTAAGAACTGATACCAACACAGCTTGAGGGAGAGTTTCAACATTTTAATTTGTGTTGTTTACAAGTACAAAAAAAAATCCATGTATCAGATCTTGCATACTCTTATACAAGTGAATAATCCTTATTGAGCAATCCTTTGTGTGAGCCAGGACTACCCAAGTGAGTACAGTTTTTAGTAGTAGCCCTAAACCCTTTTGCAGAACACACAGGTCCCTGCAAGATTCATAGAGAGTAAAACCACAGTAAACTTGGAGCAAGAGATCACACATTCATACACATACAGACTTTGCAGCTAATATTATCCCCTCTGTGCAGCCACTGGGTGTAGTGATAACAACACTGTCAGACTGTCATTACCTTGAGAAAACTGCCTCTCCTGGCATTATAGCACACGGCAGAAAAATCAGCTTGTCCTTTAAAACACTGGTCTAACCAGAGTATCTTTGTCTCTCACACCTTCTTTCTACCAGCAATGGCAGCACAGCTGGACACAACATCCCAGAGCAGCAATGCTGCAGGTCAAGCTGCTCTCCAAGCCCCAGTGGCATCAGTGCTGCATAGGCAGCAGTTCTCATGCTGATGGAGTGTTTGTATCTGGTTAATCTGCACAGCTAAGGCAAAACCATAGGACAGTAATATAATCCATACAAATCTTTCTCTTTCTTTCCTCTTAACAGTGATTGAAATGTTCAGCTCCCTATGCATGCACTTCAGGACGTCGGTATAAAAGTAGGAAGTAATATGGCACACTCTAAAATATGCATATCCAGTAGAATTCAGCAGTGTTATGTGAAGCCAAAAGGCACTCACAGTCCTGGGCTCCTGGCTGTGGGACTCTCCTACGTTTGACTCTAGCACAAACATTTCAGTGGTTGATGTTTGTGAAGCTGCCACTGTTTCCAGACTACAGAATCACAGCTGCACCATCACTTACAGTGCCCAAAGTCAGCTTTAAGGATCTGAGAGCTCCCTCTTCAGACAGGAGTCACTTCCACGTGTGAAGTCACGTTTTGATTTTCCCCCAAAGAC